AAAAACATCTATGACTACCAACTATAAAAATGGAAAATAAAGAAAGTACCCTGGGGATAATAAAAACAACCCAGGGGAATTTGAACTTTGGAGCCAAGTATGCCTGTGTACACAGCACTAGCAGGGGCCTAGGAATAATAACAGAGATACAGCTGCATATAAGGAGAAGCCCAGAGATGCTGAGCTACCTAGAGGTCAGTACCATCAAAGCTGAATCAGAAGTGAAAATTCAATTGATTCATATATTAGAAATAATGTTGAATAAAACATGATATCGTAGTGCAGACAGTGGTCAAAATATGGTATGATTCAGTACAAAAGCTGACATTATGCAGAAGCTAGCTCTTAAATGCTGATGTAAAAGAAAAAAAAATAATGCAGTATAGATCACTGGGATTCTATTCTTAAGTGGTTTTCAACCTTTCAATGAGAAAGAGTCACTTTTCAGGTGACACACAAGATCACTGCAAATTAGACATGAAATTACTGCATGTTTTTAGTTTGATCACAAGTTTCTCACATAACACTGACTGAGACAGAGAGTAAAGGACGAACAGACAGCGGCAGGGGTTTTATTTCTAGGAGCTTTATTAGTTTATTAGAACATTAGTAGTTCCCAGCATGTAGAACATGATTTATAGTTCACAACTCTGGGAAGCAAGTACACAAACCAGCATAAAATTCAGATAGATGCTTGTCACTGAAATTATTTTACAAAGAGTTAAAATAGGACAAATATGCATTTGTTGGAATTATAACTGCAAGTTTTAGGAACATTTGCAAAATGTGGAGTTAGATCATCACCATTAGATCATTTCACCTTGTAATTGCTGTTCTTCTTTGTCAGACTCCTTACCCTGGACTTATTCAATATTAAAATAGTTCTTTGACTGACACTCTCATAGTTAGAATGTGAATGATTGGGCCTCTTTAGAGGTCTGTTACTGCAGCTGTTTCAAGCTGCTTTGAAAAGACATCAAACCGTTGATTACCAGACCTTGCTAACAAAAGCTACTAATTGGCATTTCATCTAATATAGCCCACCAGTACCAGTGTTTTCAAATGTGATTAAGTTATTCCAGAGTCCAGTTTAATAAAGCATATCCCTTGTATCTAGAGATTTGTAACTGTGATAACATATTAACAAACAGAAACACTTTATTCTAGACATCATCCAATGCACACGTGGGCATGTGAACTGAACTGTAATATTCCTTGCATCCAGAGATTTGTAACTATGACAACATATTAACAAACAGAAACCTTTTATTCTAGAAATAGTCTAATGTACACATGGGTGTGTGAACTAAGCTGTAATTTCATATTGAAGGACACCCGTGCTCTTTGTTCCTTTATTAAATGTCTTCTACACATTAAATACCAGGTGTATAAAAATTAAACATTATACATACACAACATAACAGCAAAGTATACTGTCCACACAAAGCCATGAGGGCTGATCCATGGTAGAAGTCAGAGAATGGTGACAGAGGCTAAAGTCCCACATCAGTGCTGATGGTGCTTGGTTTATTGGCTCTTTCACCATGATAAAGAGGATGAAGGTCATGCAAGATTGAGTCAGTCCTTGTACTCATCCCACTCTCACTGACTACCTCTAGACAATATGGGCTCATCCTACAACACAGCTTGCTTTCTTGACTGGCTTATTGAGCTATTTAGCTTTGCCAATCTTGATGCTCCCTCTCCAGCACATCATAAAAAAGAGTGCACAAGCTCCTCAATGTCCTGTGTTATGGTATTGTACACAGTGAAGGACGGAGTCAGCCTCCTGCCTCCTCTGTATCTCTGCTTTTCACATGCTGTGGAGAATTAGATATTGGCACAGTCAAATGTACAAACAGATATCAGTTTCACTGTATAAGGATATATATGTTTATAGGGTCATTAGATCGGTGTGGGCGAAGTGACAGTGATTTGAATTATTAAGAACCATAAATGACAAAAATATTATGTATGTTGAGAAATTCTGAAAACCGAGTTAACAAAGAAGAGGGTTTCTTCCCTGCTTGTTTCTAAGGTGAATGCTAAGATGTGGTGAGGCACAATCTTAAGGGAAGCAATTAAAGTTGTGGTTGCAGTTATTAGAACTGATTATGACTTTTTCTTTTTTCAACTGTTGATATTTTTCTTGATTTTCTGCATTCCTCTTCTAACATTCTTCACCTGTAATGCTTTTTTTCATGTTTTTTTATTGAACAAATCATTCCATTTTGTTAAGGTTGCCAGAGCTGTTCACCTTAACATTATGCAAACTCATCTAACGCTTGCATTACATACAAACCCAAGAAGTTTGAAAAGGATTAAAAAGATTCTGATGTGTTTAACTGGAGAAGAGCAACAGAAAGTACACACATCTAAGGAGTGATGGAATATTCTGCAGCTTCATTTGCACTCCCCTACCAGGAAGCTGCCGATCCTTTAACAGGTGGAAGCAGGCATTGTGATTTAGGAGAGATTCGTGTGAAGCAGTTAATGGATCAAATCGCAAACGCTGAGCTGAAGTCCACCACCAGGAAGAATCAATAAATGTATTCTTGGGCTTGCAGCTTGTGTTCTGTGTAGGAGGTGGACTGCAGGATGTCAAGTAGGTGGTCTGTGAAGATGATTCAGGTTTTAAAGGGCTTTATGACCACTGAGGTTAGCGTGATGAGTTTTGTAGTCACTCAGCCTTTTTTTGATGCAGTTCTGGATGGGAACACTGGGGTATAAATATATGCTCAAACAACCTAATGTGTCACAGATAGTTGGCAACTGGTGTTCGTCTTTGTGCTTCTACCAAAACATAACAGAGGCAGCAATCAATAAACAATTAACAAATCTCATTTATGATGCAGTTTGAGTAGAAAAAATGAATAGACGGAGAGGGGAAAATACAAATGTCAAAGAAATGGCATATAATGGCTTTAGATATAATGCACCTTGAAAGTTTCTGATTGACTGAATGTCTGTAGTTAAAGCTCCATGATGTCAATGTAACATCACATATACATAAATTTGAATGAAATTGATTATAAGGTCGCATTCTCTTAAAAGGGATGGTGCTGGAACAATTATCATTTGCCTGGATGACATCGAGCAAACATGATTCATGATACTTAACATGAATAACTTTTTATGATCAATACTGTGGAATGGTTTTTCCCTTATTTCCCTTATTCCCTTATTTCTCTGTGTAGTTATTACAATATGATGTAAAGACTGTTGACTGCTGCTGCGGTGGCACAAACAGCAGATTAAGCCTTTAGGCTAAAAAGCTTGTCAGCGCAGAGACAAAAAAGACATTCTGTGTTTAACTAGACCACACACACACACGCACGCACGCACACACCACGGGTCACTTTTCATTCAATATGCAAATTGAAAGTGCAGTTCATTTGCTGATGAAGGAGGATTCGTGCTCAATTATATCTTAATGGGTTGGATATAACAGCATGTTCGGGTCAGCATATTTTTATTAGATGATTTTTTTATTAGGTCAAATGAGACCAAAATTTCTTAAATCATCTGAAGCAAAAATGAACTAACCTGACCGGAGGAGCCAAACAATACACACAAGCAGGCGCGCACGTGCACTTCATTTTCTAATTGCCCGTTTGTTTCTTTCTCTCGTTTCTTCCGAGAAATGAATGTGCGCGCTCATGCCCGCGCGCACAAAACACGAGGCGAATTCCAGGATTCATTTCGAGGGAAACAAACGCGCACGTGGGGCAGACAATAGAGGGCGTGAGTGCGCTTGAAGCGGGCGAGTGTCGGTGCCTCTGAATGTTAAGCACATTGGCCCATAAGCGCTTTACACACCCACAGCTCCTGGTGCAGCTGGGAGGGGGGGGAGAAAGGGGAGTGGGGGTGGGAGAGAGGGTAGAAACGGCAACATGTCATCCGTCTATGCAGTTTGTCAGTCTTTGTTTACTCTCCGTCAGCAATAAACTGTTCACTAATGGCTGGTGCACAGGGCTCACTCCTTCAATAATGTTATGTGTTATGGGGAACTCCCTGCTTTCAGGCCGGGAGAGAAACGGTGCTAGTGGCTCTATAACAAACGGCCTGACTAGCTTGGAAATTAGAAATGCAAAGGTGATGTAGTAGAGCAGCAACGTGGAAATCCCGGTAGTGTTCAGTAAGCAGCGGACCGATGCTGCATTGCGCTTCTCACCGAGCAGGTCCCTCCGCTGAGAGACAACAACTCCACACCAGTGTGTGCACGTGTGTGAGTAGACTATGTAAGAGGCAGTGAAAGCCAAGAAACAACCGAAACACCTCTGAACGTTAAAAGAAAATAAAATAAAATCAGAAAAAGTGGTAGATAGCATGCTTACCACTTTTAATTCATCCGTGGAATGTATTTCTGTATTTATTTACAATAGAGCATTGGTTGCAGTGGTGCTTTGTGGAAGGTATACTATAGGTTACAGTTTACGCATGCCGTGCAACTATACCCGTCACAGGATTGTAAATATTACAACAATTTCCCATTACGTGAGAGCGCAAAGGCTGTGTCGATTTCTGCCTCTTTCAGAAAAGAATGAATGAAGCCCTCTACACTTGCCTCTGCAAAAGAGCTGCACCAGCAGAAATATGACTGAGCGCTGGGCTGACTTGTATTACAGCCAGATCACTCTCTTTTCTATCCGTCTCTCTTGTCCTTTGTATGAATACGTGAATAAAGATATTTCCCCACCAGGAGCTGTCAGCAGCCCAGACACCAAGCCATTTAATCTTTCTATATGACAGGAAGGGGGGTGAGGTCTGTCCCCGGTAACCGACATACACACACAGCGACCCAACACCGCCTCTGCTGCCTCTCCCGTTACAGCTCAGCGATCGAGTTACGCGAATGGGGAAAAATGTTGCAGTAGCGAAGAGAGGGAGACACAGAGAGAGAGAGAGAGAGAGAGAGAGAGAGAGAGAGAGAGGCACAGAGAGAGAGAGAGAGAGAGAGACTGCAGCATTGCTGGAGACCGGAGGCAGCAGCAGCAGTCCCGAGCAGTGCAGGTGAGAGGAGAAAAAAAAACAGAGGAGGAGGCGCGTGTGGAGGAGTGAGAGAGAATGCGGGACTCTTGGAAAAAGACGCATCTACACTCGGTCCATCACCGAGACATCCATCCCGAACACGGGCTGCACAGGATTATGCTAAATTGATGCTGCACTCGGGATACCCCCCTTTTAGTCCACAAAGAGTGGCTCTGGTTTTTCTATTTTATGAGAAAATACATGATTAGAAAGTCGGCTTGCAAAACACTCCTCTCTCCAGATAACTTGCGTGAAGGAATCCGACTGCTTGGCACGTTGCTCCACTGCGGGAAAAAGAGGAAAACGCAGCTGGATCTGAAGGTAAGAAAAGATCCAGTCTAGTAGGATCCCAGAGACTTGTTTCAAACAGATTTTCATTCTTTTTCTGAGATTCGAGTAAATTTTGACCATCCGGAGAGCTGAGAGGCTGTTTTCTCTTTCTCCCTCTCCCTCTCTCTCTCTCTCTCTCTCTTTCTTTCCTCTAGTGGTGCTGCATTGCAGTTTCTAACTGTGAAAAACGCGAGAAAAGCCTCTGTCCCAAATGTGACTGGAATAAAAAGAAGTTACAAATAGCATTATGAACTGATAAGCACCCTTGTCCGGATAGCTCTCCGGTTTACGGAGGGAAGAGAAAGAAGTGAGGAAGTGGATTAATCCAATTCTGATAAATTAGTTTTATTTTTCGCAGCAGGATGGATTTTTTTATATCTCTGAGGCTTAAACAGCCCAGCAAGATAAGAGCACTGCTGCTATAGAAGTTTGAAAATAAAAATCACTGGGTATAGGAGGAGAACAGAAGAAAGAAGCCTGTGCCACTGAAGTGAACTACAGTCAGAAAGCTTTTCTCCGGACCTCAGGCAGCAGTCCACAGAGAGTGGTAGAGAAAGGGTAAGAAAGGATAAACCAAACACCCACGCCGTGAGGTACACCAGAACATAAATAAAGAAGAGACGAGCCGCAGCTACGAGACAGACAGAGCGGGAAGGAGAGAAGCGAGAGAAAGAGCCATGCAGAGGCTTGGTGCAGTGCACTCCTCCGCGGCGCAGGTTCTCAGCCTCGTGGTCTTAGTGCTGCAGCTGCTGACTCAGCTACCGGGTGCCGACTCAGCTCTCCGGTACCGGGTGGCGGAGGAGGGTCCACCTGACGTCAAGATTGGCAACGTAGCCGCAGACCTTGGCCTCACAGCAGGTACAGGCAGTGGGGATGTCACCTTTGCCCTGGAGAGCGGCTCAGAGTACTTCAAGATTGACAATGTGACAGGTGAGCTGACAACCGGCCCACGGCGCATCGACAGAGAGAAACTCCCCCAGTGCCAGATGATATTTGATGAAAATGAGTGTTTCTTGGACTTTGAAGTGTCAGTGATCGGGCCACTGCAGAGCTGGGTAGACCTGTTTGAAGGCCGTGTTGTCATCACAGACATCAATGACAATACACCTTCCTTCCCCTCACCTGTGCTGCAGCTCTCAGTTGAAGAGAATCGGCCCATTGGAACCCTTTACCTGCTTCCCACTGCCACAGATAGAGATTTTGGGCGAAATGGCATTGACCGTTATGAGCTCATTCAGGACGGTGGGGCTGGGTCAACTTCATCAAGACGCACAGCAGGAGGAAACCCCATTACTAGAGTAGATGGGCTTGGAGACCGGAGGGGTAGAAGTGGAGATAATGGGGGAGGAGCTAGAAGCAGTGTGTTTGAACTGCAAGTGGCAGATATACCAGATGGTGAAAAACAGCCACAGCTCATTGTGAAAGGCACCTTAGACCGTGAGCAAAAAGATTCATATGAGCTTGTCCTGAGGGTTCGAGATGGAGGGAACCCACCACGTTCCTCCCAAGCTCTGCTTCGTGTTTCTATCTCTGACGTGAATGACAACAGCCCACAATTTGAGAGGTCTACATATGAAGCAGAAATGGCAGAAAATGCCCCTCCAGGTACACCTGTCCTCCAGGTTAGAGCATCAGACCGTGATATTGGAGTCAATGGGCAAGTGGAGTACGTCTTTGGAGCTGCAACTGAGTCTGTCAGGCGACTCCTAAGGCTGGATGAAGCAACTGGATGGCTGAGCGTTCTCCACAGGATTGATAGAGAAGAAGTGGCACAACTGAGGTTCACAGTAATGGCCAGGGACCGCGGCCAGCCACCCCGCACTGATCGAACCACGGTAGTTTTGGCTGTTCGGGATGAAAATGACAATGTTCCTGTTGTAGAGATCCGAAAAATTGGCCGGATCCCTGTACGAGACGGAGCCTCTTTAGTGCCAGAGAATGTCTTGGTGGACACACCAGTAGCTCTGGTCCAGGTGTCAGACCGGGACCAGGGAGAGAATGGAGCTGTGACTTGCACAGTAGTAGGAGATGTCCCATTCACACTCAAGCCGGCTGGGGAAACAGTGCTCCCACCCTTACCTGCAGATGACGCCTTTGACAGGTAAGATGAACCAAAACATTTAACAGTGATAACTTACACAAAATCCTGAAAAGTTAAAAGTAAATGTGCCAGGATAAGTGTTTATCATTAAGCATTTGCTGAACAACAGTGAATCAAAGACTAGATAATAAGTTACTTGGGCATACACTGTCAGATAATGAACCTCTATCCTAATAATAATTCCTTGCCAAAGCACGGTGGAAATTTTTTAAGGAGCACAACACAGTAAGTTATCTTTGGTAATTATGAAGTAATGAGGCATTTCAAATAAAAGTTCAATATGATACACAACTTCACTTGAGCGGGGGACAAAACATTAGCAAACAGGCAGAATATTAGTAAAATAACATGTGTCTATGTATCATTAAGCACCTGAATCAAAATGACAGAGTTGAAAAACAACAGCGAGGTCATTGTTTATTAAAAAAAGGGTCATATACATCAAACAATACAACTTTAAAATTCCATCAAACACAGGTAATTTATAGCTATTTATTAACACTTATGTACAGTGATTAATTCAGTTATCAAAGAACACAGATGTGTGAACAGTCAGAGGGAAACTTGAACCCTTGATCCTTATACGGAGAGATTCTGTGGGCTCTGTCATGCTATGGAGGTCAAGTTCCTGGAACAGTTTGTTCCCTTAAAGGCAAGGGTCTCCAAAAATCAATACAAAGGTGTCCTGAGTGCTCACCTTTATTGCTTGATGAAATATTTCTGTACTGATGGCCTTAATCCATAGGGCACAAGGGGTCACTAAATGGTTTATGAGTATAAAAATGATATGAATCATATGGTCTTTGTAGTAACCCCATCTCAACCCAGCACAACACCTATGGGAGATTTTGAACCATATACAAAGACCTGACTCTCTACCATTGTTATCAAAACATCAAATGTGGGAATATATATATTTTTAATAACAATATTTAATCCCCCCCATTAGCGTTTCGCACACTTGTAGAATCAGTGATGAATGGTGAATAAAAGTTGTTCTAGAAGGAGCCTATTAGCTTAGTAAGATGCTTTTCTTCTTCTTTTGTAATTTGTCAAACCCCATTTTCCATAAACTGTACACTAATGTGAAGCTACTTCTTGGCTCACTCACTGGTATCTCCTCACCATACATACCATACAAACCTTGAACTGTGTGAACTGTTATCATGATTCAGAAATATACAGCATATGAAAATGTATATACACCTGCTTATTCTAACACTGATAACAACACATCCGGCAAACCGTTTCCATCTAGATCTCTGTTTTTCACAGAGAATTCAAGTGTTTTTCCATGCCAATTTCACTTGAGCTTAGTTCAAGTAGTGTCACTCATTCACTAACATTACAAAGTAGGGAAGCTATCTTACAATCTGTAAACTTAAGGCACAAATATTCATTATAGTCAAGGGCTTTGCACTTTTAAATAATATTATTCCAGCAGTGATGACTACAGATGTCAGTGCACTTCAGTCAGTTATAAGAATGTTCCCTTAAGGCATTGAATGGCAGGAGTGAGAAAAAAAGACAAAGCCTCTTAGGATATTATTGTTAGTACCAGACACCTGTACAAGGAGGTTAGTGGTTTTATTGAATGTAAGGCTATTGTCGACTAAAGAAATTTGTCAAAGTGGTAACGATAAGAGGTCTTCACCACATCGATACATGGTTTTAATTAAAATGTCACAATCACAGTTTCTCCAGTGTTAGTGTCCCTTCACAGATTATTGCAGTCACCTTGGAAGATGTTTTTAAATCCAATGATTATTAAAGTAGCAAATATTAGAGCTGATTGAAAGAAAAGTGAAATTATTCGACAGATGTTAATTTTCAGGCAAAAAAAAGAACAAGGTATTCTCTAGTCCTTTCTTTTTAATTGAGTGCTTGTCTTTTTTTTTGTTTCTAATCACTGTGATCTACGTATCTCTATGCTTTTTTTCCTGTTGGAGAGACAACACAAGACTTTTGAAGATGTGACCGTGGGCTTTCTAAAATCAAAAGAAGTGACATTTTGTATGATATGATAATAGAACATTTCCCATAAAAATACCAAGACAATAGCTACTTAACTTTCTGCAACACCTGGTGTCTCAGTGCCAGTGCAGTTTAATAAGAAATATCATTATTTGTCTCCACTGGAGATCAGACGTATATCATTTCCCTGTAAAATGTCTATTGCATTCATGTTTCTTTTTTTTTTCTTTTTTCTTTTTTTACAGGAACAAGAAAAAGTACTTCTTACACACTTCTGCCTTGCTGGACTACGAGGCCACAAAAGAGTACAGTGTAACAATTGTGGCAGTAGATTCTGGCAGCCCCAGTCTCTCTAGTAACAGCTCATTGATGGTGCGAGTTGTAGATATCAATGACCATGCTCCAACCTTTGCCCAGAGTGTTGTGGAGGTCCACTTTGCAGAGAACAACTCGCCTGGCGAAAGGGTAGTCACTGTTGTAGCTACAGATGCAGACAGTGGCAAGAATGCTGAAATTGCCTACTCACTCGACCCTGCTGCTAATGGACCATTTTACATAGATGCAGACAATGGAGACATTCGTGCCACTGGGGTTTTGGACCGTGAGCAGCGAGAGCGATATGAACTGCGGGTTTTTGCAAAGGACAAAGGCACCCCGTCTTTACAAGGCTCTGCCAGTGTTGTTGTTCAGGTGACCGATCGCAATGACAACGCTCCAAAGTTTGTTCAGGAAATCTTCACATTTTATGTAAAGGAGAATCTGCTAGCCAACAGTCCAGTCGGCATGGTCACTGTGACTGATGCTGACGAAGGTCAGAATGCAGAACTAAGTCTTTTTGTAGAGATGGATGGAGTTGATGAGAAGATGACAGGAGAAAAATCAGAGGGAGAAGATGGTAAAAAAGAGAATGAAGAATTGTTCTCCATTGAGAACAACACTGGAACCATCTTCTCTTCTGCATCATTTGACCGTGAAAAGCTTTCCACCTACACTTTCCGTGTCCGGGCAGTGGATGGAGGTGAGCCTCGCAAAACTGCTACTGCCACCGTCTCGCTGTTTGTGACGGACGAAAATGACAACGTCCCCGCAATTACTTCTCCAGCCAACGAGTCCTACACCCTCCTACCGCCTGCTAGCAGTGCCCGCACCATTGTCAAAACTGTAACAGCCATAGACTCAGACACAGGCCCAAATGCTGATCTTCACTACTCTCTAGTAGGAGGAAATCCCTTCCGACTGTTTGAGATTGGCCACACCAATGGAGTGATCACCCTGGCAGAGCCTCTGGAGCGCCGCCACAGAGGTCTACATCGTTTGGTGGTCCGAGTGAATGACAGTGGCATCCCCTCTCTCTGTGCCACTGCGCTGGTTCATGTCTTCATTAATGAGAGCTTGGCTAATGCTTCACTAGTGGATGCACAGGTAACTTCATGTATTAATACAGTCTTATGCTAACTGATTTCTCCCACAGAGTACATTAAGTTAAATAACTCAAAGTAAAAGATTTAATGAAACCTACTGTCCCTTTTTGGTAAATGTGAACCACAATTCCACACTGTTGATAATGATAACAAATATTGACAGCGATGGTATTGCCCCGGGGCCTACTTAAACGGCCACAATGTCTACACATTACAGTGCAGGAGCTGTGGCTGCAGAATGAATAAATGCAGAGATTCTGCAGCCTGCATGGTGTAATTTTCAGACAGTTTTTTGGGGGAAAATGTGCCTACATTTGCCCCAGATAAAGAAGCCCATTTCTCAATTGATGGCTACTGGCAATGCCAGCTTCTTTGTAGTTTGGAGCCTACTGGAGTGTGTTCTTTGTCCAGCATGCATTGTTATAATGCGTGTGTGGTTAAAATAACTGTTATTACTGAAGTGGTTCTCCTTTTATGGTACATTGAACTCAAAGCCGAAAGCATTAGGTGTGTGTGTGTGTGTGTGTGTGTGTGTGTGTGTGTGTGTGTGTGT